GATATTCCTCTGGGTCTCCCACATGGGTGCAGGGGCCCAAGGACTTGGACCATCTTCTTCTATGTTTTCTCAGGCCACAGCAGAACTGGATCAGAAGTGGAGCAGCTGAATCTTGAACCGGCACCCATATTGGATGCCGGCACCACAGGCGGCAGCTTAACTCACTACACCACAGCGCTGGCCTCCAAATACGAATTTCATAGGTACAGCTTTAGGAATATAACAGTTCTTCCCCCATACCCACCTCCCACCCACCCCCCATCCCATCTCCTACTCTCTCTCCCATTCCATTCTTCATTATGATTTGTTTTTAATTAACTTTGTATACAGAAGACCAACTCTATACTAAGTAAAGACTTTCACAATTTGCACCCACACAGACACACAAAGTATAAGGTACTGTTTGAAAACAAGTTTTACAGTTAATTCTCATAGTACAAATCATTTAGGACAGAGGTCCTACATGGGTAGTAAGTAGACATCAGTAATCACCAGAGGCTCTTGACATCAGCTGCTGAGGCTATGGAAGCCTTTTGAGGTCACAACTTCTGTCAGTATTTAGACAGGGCCATAAGCAGAATGGAAGTTCTCTCCTCCCTTCAGAGAAAAGTACCTCCTTCTTTGATGGTCCCTTCTTTCCACTGGGGTCTCACTCACAGAGATCCTTCATGTGGGGATATTTTTTTGCCACAGTGTCTTAGGTTTCCATTCCTGAAATGCTCTCATGGGCTTTTCAGCCAGATCTGAATGTCTCAATGGCTAATTCTGAGGTCAGAGTGCTATTTAGGGTGTTTGTCATTCTATGAGTCTACTATGTGGACTGCTTCCCATGTTGGAACATTCTCTCTTTTTAAATTCTATATATTGTTACTACCAGACACTTAGTCTTATTTATGTGATCCCTTTGACACTTAGTTCTATCAATCTGATCACTTTAGCACATAAGATGGCATTAGTACCACCAAGCTTAATGGGATTTGGAGTCCCATAGCAAGTTTTTAGCTTTACCCTTAGGGTTAAGTCTGTGGGAATGTGTGCTGAACTGTACATTTCCCTTCTCTCTTATTCCCACTCTTACTTTTTTACAGGGATCTATTTTCAATTGGATTTATATACCTATGATTAATTCTATGTTAAGTAAAGAGTTGCAAGCAGAGTCTTAACTGCTGTGCCAAATACTTACCCCCAGTTTACATGTTTAAAGCATTAATTAGGGGCCAGTACTGTGGCATAGAGGCTAAGCCTTCACCTATGGTGCTGGCATCCCATATGGATACCAGTTCTTGTCTCGGCTGCTCCACTTCTGATCCAGCTCTCTGCTATGGCCTGGGAAAGCAGCAGAAGATGGCCCAAGTTCTTGGGCTCCTGCACACATGTGGAATACCTGGAAGAAGCTCCTTGCTTTGGATCAGCCCAGCTCTGGCCACTATGGCCATTTGGTGCATGAACCAGTGAATGAAAGACCTCTCTCTCCCTGTCTCTTCCTCTCTATGTCTGTAACTCTGCCTCTCAAATAAATAAATAAAATCTTAAAAAATAAAACAGCTCACTTGTTTTTTTTAAAGCATTAATTGGCTGTTCTGTCGAGAATGGACTGTAGAACATAAAGTTGGAGAAAGATGGTTATGATTTGAACAAGGGCCATGGCAGTGGAGGGGAAGAAAAGAGAGTGGATGGATTTTGAAGGTGGGTTGAAGGGACTTGGAAGCAGGGTACACAGGATGTCCTTCGTGTTTCTGTCTTAAGAAACTCAGTGTTTGGAGCTGCCTTTGACTAACATGGGAGAGACTGGAAAGGAAAAAGTCTGGGGAAATAAGCAGTACCCTTTTGGTCAATGTTGTGAAATGTTATGAAAATTCAAATAATGATGGATAATGAGTCTTACAAGGGTGGCATTCAGAAGAGAAAACTGGGCTAGAGAGAGAAATGTGGGAGCCACTGGCCTGTGGATATGGTATTGAAGTAAGGGGACTCAGTGCAATCAAATAAGGAAGATGGTGGAGGAGGAGGATAGACGAGAGACCGGAACATGCAGCACCCAAGTATATCAGTGTCTTCTGTGAGAAACTCACCTTTTTTTTTTTTTTAAGATTTTATTTATTTATTTGAGCCGTAGAGTTACAGACAGTGAGACAGAGAGAAAGGTCTTCCTTCCATTGGTTCACTTCCCAGATGGCTGCAATGGTTGGAGCTGCGCCTATCCAAAGCCAGGAGCCAGGTGTAGGTGCTTCTTCTTGGTCTCCCATGTGGGTGCAGGGGCCTAAGCACTTGGGCCATCTTCTACTGCTTTCCCAGGCCACAGCAGAGAGCTCAATTGGAAGAGGAGCAGCCGGGACTAGAACCGACACCCATATGGGATGCCGGTGCCACAGGCAGAGGATTAACCCACTGCGCCACAGCACTGGCCCCAAAACTCACCCTCTGAATGTGGGGCTGCAGAAGTGAGCAGGCTTCCCTGTGCATTGGCTCATGATCCTGTTCACTCATCTATTCTATTATGCGTATCTGTATATTCCACTTGCCGTGACTATAATGGAATATCCGAGGCAAGCTACTTTATAAAAGAAAGAGGATTATTTAGCTCAATAGTTTTGGAGCCTGCAAATGCAAACAGCATGGAGACAGCTCTTGTAAGAAGCCCTCTTGGCTGCAGTTCATCACGGCTGGGCTACAGATGTATCTCTGCCTGTGTGCAATCTCTCCCTCTCCTCATAAAGCCACCAGCTATCAATCATGGGGACTCCACCCCGAAGATTTTATTTTTTTTAAAGATTTATTTATTTATTTGAAAGTCAGAGTTACACATAGAGAGAGGAGAGGCAGAGAGAGAGACAGAGAGAGAGAGAGGTCTTCCATCTGATGGCTCACTCCCCAACTGGCCCCAACGGCCAGAGCTGCGCCAATCCAAAGCCAAGAGCCAGGAGCTTCTTCTGGATCTCCCACACAGGTGCAGGGGCCCAAACACTTGGGCCATCTTCTACTGCTTTGCCAAGCCAAAGCAGAGAGCTGGATTGGAAGAGGAGCAGTGGAACTAGAACTGGCGTCCATGTGGGATGTGGGCACTTCAGGTCAGGGCGTTAACCCGCTGCGTTACAGCGTTGGCCCCCCAAAGATTTTATTTAATCTCATTATTTCCCAGAGGTCTCAGGTATAAATACTATAGTTGAATTAAGTTTCTACCTTCTTAACACCATTAACATGAGACTTTGGGCATTAAACTGCTGCATGAGTTTGGGGGATGGAAAGGGGACAAACTATATCCAAACCATAACAATATCTACACTTACTTTCTTTCTTTTTCCCCCTTTCTTTTAAAGATGTATTTATTTCTTTGAAAGTCAGAGGGGCTGGTGCTGTGGCGTAGCAGATAAAGCCACCGCCTGCAGTGCCGACATCCCATATGCGCGCTGGTTCGGGTCCCGGCTGCAGCTCTCTGCTATGGGTCTCTGACCCAGCTCTCTGCTATGGCCTGGGAAAGAAGTACAAAATGGCCCAAGTCCTTGGGCTCCTGCACCCACATGGGAGACCTGGAAGAAGCTCCTGGCTCCTGATCGGCACAGCTCTAGCTGTTGTGGCCAATTGGGAAGTGAACCAATGGATGGAAGATCTCTTTCTCTCTCTGCCTCTCCTTCCCTCTCTGTGTCACTCTGACTTTCAAATAAATAAATTAATTAAAAAAAAAAAAACAATTATGGAGGGAGAGCCAGAGGAAGAGAGAAAGATCTTCCCAGATGACCATAACAGCCAGGGCTGAGCCAGGTCGAAGCCAGGAGCTTCCTCCCAGGTCTCCCAAGTGGGTGGCAGGGGCCAACTACACCAACCCCATTATGTCTAAGTGAAGCCTGTGCTAAAGGTCCTAGAGTGAGGACCCAGTTTTTGGAGGGATCCTGAGTCATACAACGTGGGGGGAGCCTTCTTTAAGAAAAAGATTAGGCCGGCGCCGCGGCTCAGTAGGCTAATCCTCTGCCTGCGGCACTGGCACACCAGGTTCTAGTCCCAGTCGGGGCCCTGGATTCTGTCCCGGTTGCCCCTCTTCCAGGCCAGCTCTCTGCTGTGGCCCGGGAGTGCAGTGGAGGATGGCCCAAGTCCTTGGGCCCTGCACCTGCATGGGAGAATGGGAGACCAGGAGAAGCACCTGGCTCCTGGCTTCAGCTCAGCGCGGTGTGCTGGCTGCAGTGGCCACTGCAGGGTGAACCAATGGCAAAGGAAGATCTTTCTCTCTGTCTCTCTCTCTCACTGTCCACCCTGCCTGTCAAAAAAAAGAAAGAAAAAGAAAGAAAAAGAATAAATAGACTGGGGCCGGTGCTGTGGCATAGTAGGCTAAGCTTCCACCTGTGCTGCTGGCATCCAGGCTGCTACACTTTTTTGTTTTTTAAGATTTATTTATTTACTTGAAAGGTAGAGTTACAGAGAGGCAGAGGCAGAGAGAGAGAGAGAAGTCTTCCATCCCATTGGGTCCACAATGGCCAGAGCTGGGCCAGCTGAAGCCAGGAGCCAGGAGCTTCTTCCAGGTCTCCTAAGTGGGTGCAGGGGCCCAAGGACTTGGGCCATCCTCTGCTGCTTTCCTAGGCCATAGCAAAGAGCTGGATCAGAGGTGGAGCAGCCAGGACTCAAACTGGTGCCCATATGGGATGCTGGCATGCCACAGTGCTGGCCCCAGATGGAATCTCTTTCTAACTCTGCCTTTCAAATAAAGAAATCTTAGAGAGAGAGAGAAAGTCATGAGTATAAAATTAGGCACAAAGGTAAATGTTTATTTTCAGTTAAAGAAAATATAACAGATTGTAGATTTCTAGAAAGTGACAACACAAATTTCACAGAATAAAACTTTATTTTAAAATTATTTTAATTAATTAATTGATTTTTAAATAATTGTGGGACTAGCATTTTTCCTACCTTTTCCAACTGCACAATTTTTTGGTAGCTCCTTCTCATGACAAAGCTTTTGGAACATCCTATTCTACAGAGAGACTAGAAAGATGATTCAGTCATTCATAAAGCATGGTCAATCAAAGTTTCTTTTTTATTAGCGGTTCAAAATGTCTGCATCGCACCTCATGATTAGTTATGCTGTGTAAACTTCCTGGACTTCTGTGAAATTCGGGGACGTCTCTGTCAAGCTTCCTCCATATACGAGTGCTGTGATTTCAGGGCCAGTTCGCTGCCTTGGAGCCAAGGTGCATGTCATTCCATCTGGAACCACGAGACTCTGTCAGGACAAGATACATTAGATAGGCTAGGCTACATTCCAACCAGGAATGCACAAAGCATCTGCCTCCACAGAGAAGCATGCTCTTGCTCTTTGTAATACCGCTATAGGCTTTGTCCTACAAACATAGGCTTTTTGCTTAATTCTATTTTATGCATTCCATTTTTTAAAACAATTAATGCTGTGATTATATACTTTCAATTATTTTATTTTAAATATTTTAATGAGTTTATTTGAGAGGGAAAGAGAGAGAAAGAAAGGGAAAGAGAGGGAGCATGCACTATTATCCATTGGTTCACTGCTCGAATGCTTGCAGTGGCTGAGACAGGGCTGGACTGAAGCTGGGAACCAGTAACAGTCCATGTCCCCCATGTGGATGGCAGGGACCCAATCATCAGAGCTTTCACTGCTGCCTCCCAAAGTCTGCATTAGCAGGAAGCTGGAATCAGGAGTCAGGGCTGGGCATGGAATCTGGGCACTCCAATATGGAACATGGGCATCCCAACTGCATTTAGCCATTAGGCCAAATACCCATCCCTATAGACTTCTTAAATTATATATTTTTAAAAATTCACTAGCATGTATTCATATGTACCCAGTCCTTTTTACATCCCAAATGAATTTTTATTATTTTTTATTGATTTTCATTTTATTTGGTTGGCAGAGAGAATCTTCCATTCACTGGTTCACTCCCTAAATGCCAATAAGAGGTAGAACTGGGCCAGGCCAAAGCCAGGATCCTGAAATTCAGTCAGGTCTCCCACATGAGTGGCAGAAGCTATCACCTACTGTCTTCAAGGAGCACATTAACAGGAGGCCAGAATTGGAAATGGAGACAGGATTCAAATCCGGGCAGGTGTCCTATCCATCCTCAGGACAAATACCTGTCCCTTTATACTTCAAAATATTGCATTATTGAATGCATTCCTGATGGGAAAGGACTTCCATTTGACTAAGTGTGGAGAATCCAAGCTTTCAGCTTACAATTATACGTTATTTTAGCACAGAAATACTTTAATGAGGGACTGCATCTTTCCTGTGATGTGTCTTGGGTTTTCTTAACACACTATAAATTCTTGGCCTAATGCAAGTCAGCTAAGGATACACCTGTCCAGAGAACAGTCACCCTTACCTGGGAGGCAGAGAACAGAGAAGCTATGGTGGAGTTGGACAGGAGGGGTATATTTGGGGAAAAGGTAACAGCATTCCTTTAATTAGCATGGGCCGTTGAAAAAATAACTTTTAAATTTATTTGATCTGTGTTGAACCATGGCTGTCTCTACTTAGCTGTGTGATCTTGAGGAAATGTTTTACCCTCCTCAGCTTCATTTTCTTCTACAAACAGGGGAAATAATACTTCAGAGGATTCTGTTCATGCACCAGGGAAGGCAACAGATGAAGGCCCAGGGTGTTTGAGCCCAGTCACTCCTGTGAGAGGCCTGGATGGAGTTCCTGGATCCTGGCTTTGGCTTGGCTGAGCCTCAGCTGTTGCAAACTTTGGGAAGTGAACGGGTGTATATATGATCTCTTTCTCTCTCTCTCACTCTGCCTTTCTTTTCTCTTCTCTTCTCTTCTCTTCTCTTCTCTTCTCTTCTCTTCTCTTCTCTTCTCTTCTTTCTTTCTTTTTTTTTTTGACAGGAAGAGTGGACAGTGAGAGAGAGAGAGAGAGAGAAAGGTCTTCCTTTTGCTGTTGGTTCACCCTCCAATGGCCGCCGCGGCCGGCACACTGTGGCCGGCACACCGCGCTGATCCGATGGCAGGAGCCAGGTGCTTCTCCTGGTATCCCATGGGTGCAGGGCCCAAGCACTTGGGCCATCTGCCATTGTACTCCCTGGCCACAGCAGAGAGCTGGCCTGGAAGAGGGGCAACCGGGACAGAATCCGGCGCCCTGAACGGGACTAGAACCCGGTGTGCCAGCGCCGCAAGGCGGAGGATTAGCCTAGTGAGCCGCGGCGCCGGCTTCACTCTGCCTTTCAATAAATAAATAAATCTTTTTAAAAACCTTCATTTTGGGGCCAGTGCTGTGGTGCAGCGGTTTAATGCCCTGGCCTGAAACGCTGGCATCCCATATGGGTTCCATTTCTTATTTTATTTTTTTATTTTTGACAGGCAGAGTGGACAGTGAGAGAGAGAGAGACAGAGAGAAAGGTCTTCCTTTACCGTTGGTTCACCTTCCAATGGCTGCTGCGGCCGGCGCACGGCAATGATCCGAAGCCGGGAGCCAGGTGCTTCTCCTGGTCTCCCATGGGGTGCAGGGCCCAAGGACCTGGGCCATCCTCCACTGCACTCCTGGGCCACAGCAGAGAGCTGGACTGGAAGAGGGGCAACCGGGACAGAACCGGTGCCCCGACCGGGACTAGAACCCAGTGTGCCGGCGCCACAGGTGGGAGACCTGTATTGAATCTGGGCTCCTGGCTTTGGCCTGGCCCATCCCCGAAGCCACTAGGGGCATTTAGGGAGTGAACCAGTGGGTGGAAGACCTTTTCCTCTTTCTGTCTCTCCCTCTCTTTCTGTCTCTTTGTCTTTCAAATAAATTCATTAATTTTTAAAAACCCAGAAAATTCTCAAGGACTATTCCCTTTTATTTTTTAATTTGAAAGGCAGACAGAGAAAGAGGGAGATTTTCCATCTTCCATTCACTCCCCAAATGTCCACAACAGCTGGAACTGGGTTAGGCAGAAGCCAAGAGCCCAGAAGTCAATGTGGGTCTCATGTGGATGGCAGTGACCCAACTACTTGAGCCATTCCCTGCTGCTTCCAGAGTGTTCATTAGCAGGAAACTAGAATTGTAAGTAGAGCCAGGACATGAACCTACGCCCCTTGATATTGAATGTGATTACAGAAAGGCAGAGGCAGAGGCAGAGGCAGAGGCAGAGGCAGAGGCAGAGGCCGAGGCAGAGAGAGAGAGAGAGAGAGAGAGAGAGAGAAAGTATCTTACTCCCCAGATGGCCACAATGGCCAGGTCTGGGCCAAGCTGAAATCAGGAGCCAGGAGCTTCCTCCTGGTTTCCCACATGGGTACAAGGATCCAAGCACTTGAACCATCCTCTGCTGCTTTCCTCAGGCCATTATCAGGGAGCTGGATTAGAACTGGAGCAGCCGGGCCTTGACCTGGTGCCTATACGGGATGCTGGCATTACAGGTGCCAGCTTTACCCACTATGACACAACACTGGGCCCCTCAATTTTTATTCTTTTGATTAGTAATGTTGAGGAACACTTTTCTATGTGCTTATTGTCCACCGTTTTTTCAGAAATGACTTGCATTTCTTGCTAATTTTTCTATTGCATTATCACTTTCTGAGTTTTTTTTTAAAAAGATTTATTTATTTGAAAGGCAGAGTGAGATAGAGCTAGAGCTAGAAAATAGATAGAAAGAAAGGAAGGAAGGAAGGAAGGAAGGAAGGAAGGAAGGAAGGAAGGAAGGAAGAAAGGAAGAGAAAGAAACTTCTATCCATTGGTTCAAATGGCCTCAATGGCCAGGGGTGGGCCAGGCTGAATCCAAGAGCCTGGAACTCCATCTGGGTCTTCCAGGTGGGTGGCAGGGTCCAAGTACTTGGGCCATCTTCTGCTGCTTTCCCAGGCACATCTACAGGTAGTTGGATTAGAAGTGGAGCAGCTGGACTCCAGTGCTCATATGGGATGCTGGCATCACAAGTGGCAGCTTAACCAAATGTGCCATAATACTGACTCTGATGGGGTTCTTTACATACTATGATCGCAAGTCCTTTGCTGGTTATATATGTGTTGTAAAACCTTATCCCACTTCCACTTTTTACTATTGTAATGGTATCTTTAAAAATGAAGCTCTTAATTTTAATGTAGTTTCATTTTTCTCTCTTGTTGAAGTGTTTTATGTTCTTTTCATAAATTTTTGTTGTTTCAGGATTATGAAGCTATTCGACCATTTTATTATAAAGAAAATTTATTGTTTTAATTTCAAATTTAAACTTATTTTCCATCTGAGGTTGATTTTTGTATATGGTGTGGGGTAGGGTTAGCTTTCTTCCCCAATCCCTACATAGGTATATTCAGTTGAAACACTAATATTTATTGATAAGACCACACGTTCTTCACTGCTGTGCTGCACATCCATTGGATATATACCCAAAAGAACTGAAAGCAGGTTCTTGCAGAGATACTGGTATACCCTTGATGCAGAAATCCTACTGGTACTTTGATTATGGTTGTATTAAATCTATACAGAAGGCCCCAAACATATGATGGTTCAATTTAGCTTCTTTCAATATTATGATTTTTCAAAGTGTATGCATTCAGTAGAAACTGAACTTTGCAGCTTGAATTTTCATATTTCCCCAGGGTAGTGATATGCATGCACTTCTTTATGATGCTGGGTTTTGGCAGTGAGCTCTAAGTTCCCAGTTAGGTGCATGATCATGGGCACAAACAACTGATACTATACAATATGTTGGGAAGCTAAGCTGTGATATCTGGTCAGTTGGATGTATTATGTGGTTTCCATTTATGATATTTTCTCCCCACTGTAAAATTGCATTTCGTATATCAATTTGGGAAGAGTTGACATCTCTATGTTTCCAATATTTCACCTTGATATATCTATGTATTTAGGTGTTAATAATTCTTATTTTTGTTATTTGTATAATTTTATGTGTAGAGCTCTTGCATGCCTTTCTTTAGAATTGTTTCTTGGAATGACTGTGTAAGTATTACCACTTAAAAATTTTCAGTATTCTAATTTTTGCTGTTTCATAGATACACAATTGAATTTTACGTGCTGACCTTGTAACCAGGAATACATGGTCACATAGACTGCAGATCTTTAGCTTTCTCTCTCCCCTTTGATCCTTAATTTTCCTTTTTTAAAAATACTGGTTAGGACATTCAGTACAGTGTGGAATAGAAGTGTTAGTAGGTTTTTATTTAGCGAAATATACTATTTATAAGGTTAAATGTGATCCTTTCCATTCCTGGTTTATCTTTTTTCTTTCTAAATCCTAGGACTTTGTCGCTCCCCGTCTTC